CTTTCCCAGATATATAAGGGACTTTGTGTTTTTATTTCTTATTTCTTACTTTTTTAATTATAAAATTGTTATTTTTTTATTTATTATGAAGGAGTTTCTCTCGGTCAAACAAAGAGTTTCTCAGAAGTTTGATATAGGCGAGTCCCTCATGATTTGTGCCAATTTAAATTGGTATAAAAAATTATTTATTTTTAATTTTTTACATAAAAATTGCTTTCTATTTTTAAATATATATTTTAAGAATATTAACTTTTATTTTTGTATAAATATTTAAAAACAGTAAATAGATTAAAAATAATACGACATTTTTATAATTAAAAATAAAAAAACAAGTAAACCGAACTAAGTTTTTCAGTAAGAATGTTTAGAGCAGAATATCAATTATATTTTAAAACACATGCATATAATTATGGAATCACCAAATATACATATGAAATGCTTCTTTTGGTTAAATCATGATATATAGTTGTCACATTCACATGTTGCCGCCGCCCTCAATAGAAGGAAGTTTTAGGTGTTGTTTTTTGTTAGAATGTTAGGTCACATGATTTGTTTATAGATAAAATATTGTTACCTAAGATGCTAAGATCAATACAATTTAACACTTATATGAAAATGTGAACCAAATGTATATTATAAAAGAAAGCTTATCAGAAAAGAATGCTTATCAAGTGCAATTATTGCACCTCACAAGAATATTCAGAATCCAATTATGAAAAATTTAATAAATATTGTGCTGGATTGAATCGTGGAACATGATGAAGTAGCTATACAATATGCCATGATTGACAGCTATCCAGCCAATCAGATAACGTGGCCGGGCCAATTTTGCATTACAAATTAATTTGAAATAACCATTAGATTAGGTAAATTAAAAACAAGCACACACTTTAATAATGTTTATATATAGAGAGAGATGCCATCTACACGGATAAATTTTGGTAGATTTATTTCACTCAATAATTTATGTTTTATATCAAATTTCAACAATTTAACCATTAGATTAAAAGTTATTAATATATAGATCAAATCTATAAACTTTTTAAAAAATTTGAAAATCAAATGATACTTTGTTATATACATTCAAGTCAATGTATAAAATATTTTTATGATTGTTTATCAATTTGAATTAATGAAATGGGATATTAAATAATTTTTAAAATTTTAAAAAAGAAATTGCATACTTAATTTATATATTAAAAATTTTTAATTTAATAATTAGATCGTTAAAATTTGATGTATAATATGAATTATTAAGTAAGAGTGAGTCTTTGAAAACTTACTCTAAAAATAAGTGGATAAGAGATCTATTTATTTTAAGAGTAAATCTTAATACACTTATTTTACTCAAGAAAATCGACTTTTATGTGTATAAAATTTTTAATTCATAGATAAATTTAAAATATTTAAAAGTACTTGATATTTTATTTTATTAATTTAAACTTGACAAATAATTATAAAAATATATATATAAAGAAGTACACACAAAACTCAACTCGTACCCATAGAACATTAATCATAGTTTTTATAACCACAAGTGGTTGAGACTTGAGATGGCGATCGGATCTAAAACATATAATTAATTAATTAATTAATATAATCTATTTATTCTAAAAATAAATATATCAAAAATTATTTTATTCAATAAAATATAATTTATATTGAATTTTAATGATTTAATCATTGAATTAAAAATATCTTAATGAATAAATTAAGTATATTATTTTTTATAAAATTTAAAAATATTTAATATTTTATTACGTTGATTCCAATTGAAATATATTTATAAAAATACATTATAAGTTAATTTGAATCTATCTGATAGAATATTAAATAATTTTTAAATTTTATAAAAATGTATATACTTAATCAATTTATTAAAAAAATTTAATTTGATAATTGATTTATTAAAACTTAATGTAAACGATGAATTAATAAAATAATTTTTAATAATAGATTTATTATTGAAATAAGTGGATCTTCAATAA